AAATAAATAAATAAATAAAATAAAATAAAATAAAATAAAAATAAAATAAAAGAAAGAATGGAAATGTATTTAACGACCAATAAAAAAGTTCATCAGTTCAATGTGCGCGGAACGCTACCTCATCTTTGTCAATTATTCAAGAGAAAAAAACAAAAAAAAATTCCATTGCATCTGAATCCTACAAATTCTAGGCTTTACTTCCATGTATTTGTATTGTGGTGGCAAAGTAACAGCAAAAAAGATTGGTTTACTTTAATTGGAAGAGACAAAAAAGTGGTGTGGTTCAAATAATAAACTATTGTCGAAAAGGCTAGCATTAAAACGTAACAGCATTAAATTTAGTCAAAAAATAAAAATATTAATGAAAGTAATGAGATTAAAAAATAAGAAATAAAGCAATGATAACATTACTAATAATAACAGTAATAAAATTAAGGACAGATAATGATGACAATAGTATCAACGATATAACAGAGCCGTTCTTAATCATATCACACTGTTAAAAAGCCATGAATTTTTCACTGGCATTAAAGTGTCAATAAAAGTGCAATCTCGTATGTATCCAAACTACACCGTACACTACCTAATCAGTGGAAGGATCATCAAGAAATCATTGATACATTTATGGTTTATCGCAATGCTATCAAATGAAAATGTTTGAAAACTGTTTATCATTAAACAGTACTACAGTGAAGTAAGCTGCATCTGAGTTACGCCGCCGTTACAATTCCACGCAGATTTATCCGATGTGCTGCCATAGGCACCAAGAAGCAAGATGTTAGTTTAAGTGACGTGGCATTTTGCCATCGTAGACAAGGACTGCAATTGTCATTTTCAGGGGCTATTTGGCTTCACTATTCGACGTTGAAAGCGGGATTATTTAAATTCAACTTGAAAAATCGTTCTTTATAAGTTATTCGCGATCAAGATGACAGCCAGTTAATTAGCTAACGTCGAATTTGGTACCGTTTTCCTCTTTCGTTGCAAATGTTGATGTGTTCGAAGCAGAAGCAAGGTACGACTTTTTTCTCCGCCTTTGTGTTCAAGTTCAACTGTTTCAACTGTTTCTCATTTTATACCTTCATTCTTTTTATTTTTTAGAAGTTTAGCGTCCACTAATGTTGTTTAAATTTGTTATTTTGAGCAGCAATACACGGCAGCGATCTTTTGCAGTTATACAGTCGTAAGCCCAGTTGTTCAGGATAACTCTAAAAGCGTTTGTATGTACCTTAAAGCTATTTGATCTGGAAGCGAATCGTTTCTAGTTTCTGGTTGTTATAAAACACTTCCGCTGTTCCATCTTTTGAATTTATGCGCTTACTAACTATGGTGGTGACCAGAAAGTCTGTTAACGATAATACATATCGCGAGAAAAAAAAAAACTTTTTTGACATTTTATTTAACGTTCAAAAATCACTTTGCTACCTCTGACTTCGTAGTATGCTTTCAAAACTTAACGCAGGCAATTAATGCTTCAGAAAATAGGCGCGGAAGCCAATCTATGAGTTTCTTGAATGTTTTATTCACTGGAGCTAGGGTAGTGGTATGGCATCGAGGATTCAAGTGAAGATGACTCACTGGTATTTGAATAAAGTTTGACCGGTACAGTACGAGCTAAATCCAAGCCGGAATTTGGCATTCGCATGTGTTGACGGTTTTGTGCCTGCAGTGTCACTTTGCTAAAAGGTAGTTGCCTCTTAAAACCATAGTAGTGCTCAGGAGGTTTCTTCATGTTAACTCCTTAGGAAACTGTTGGGGTTTTAAGGGATTACCTTGGAATTATAGCACTTAAATTAGGCAAAAAATTGGGCAAGGAAAGGAACTTTGTGCGCAAAGAAGAAAGAAAGTTTAAAGACAAAGTAGGAGATTTTCTTCTTTTTTTAAACAAATATTCAAATAAATAAAGAAAAATTAAGCTAAATACCGCATTTAAGTTATTTTACGAGCACGCTGCAAAGTGCCGATGGTGTTATAGGTAGGGCTGTGGAAAAGACTGAAATTTTACCACGAAACCGGGGAATTTGATTTTACTCTGCATTGTTTGCTTAATGTCACTTGTCCTGCAAATCGCTGGAAAGTTTATTTTGCCGTTCACTCGTACGTGTGGAAGGCACTGTATTATTGTGAAGTGTCAGATTTGGAACGTAATTTTTCTGTTAATGAACTTTCTCCTTTTATCCTCTGTAGTTGCATTGATAATTAATTAAGACTCATGCTTGCATAATGGTCTTTTCAATTAATTCTAAAAAAAAGATTAACAAATAACTCTAGATGGATGAAGGAGATATGTGGAATTCAGTTCCGATCGATGACAGTTGGATATATGAATCTCTTGGTTGGTTATCCGGTTATTCCTTAATATTTCGCTTAGGAAGTGGGCGCAGGACAATTCCCAAAAATTCTAGTTTGATGTGGTGAAAAAGCTTTTTGTCTTTGAATTTTATCTCTGATATGTTTTAATAAGACTGGAACTTTTCTTTATGGGTGGTGTCAGTGTTGTTGTCGGGGCTTTCTGATCTATAAGCTTTAAGGAACGCTTACTAAATGGTGGCATATTTAATTAGTTGAGCCCCTTCTTATTAAATTTATGGAGAGTTAGTTATCAGAATGATTTTGAATCTGGTCTCTTTATCAAGCCAGCAGAGTTATGCTATAAAGATGAGACTTGATATGACCGGCTTTTAATATCTTTAGCTAAACTTTGTCTCTCATTGGTTAACGAGTCACGATGCCTGTCTTCCAGGTTTTACGGGGAACGAGAGAGGTAACTGTGAAGTGTTGCGTCCGAATGAGAATCGAGAAGCAACTCAAAGTGTAAAAAACGAAACTTCCCTCAAGGATACTAGGCCTCTCTCTTCTACAGAAAGGGCCCAGTTTATTCAAAATATGTATTCTCTGATTCTGACAGCTCGGTTACAAATCAAAGCTTTGGAAGCTGAGAAGACTCTTTTAGAAAACAAGTAAATTCGGAATTTGCGCGTAATTGTCCTCTATAGATGTTACTTTTTCTTCACCAATTTGTTTGTTCCTTCTCTAAGAGGTGTTTTAATTTCCTGTTGAAATCTAAACTTTAAAGTCTTTGGTAAAGAAAAGAATTAGACTTGTTGCTTTGCAGTGGACTGCACCTTAATTACAAGCTTTTGTCATCTTTTTTGCATTTTTTTTAAAGCGAATCCGGCATCGTACGTTTTTTTATTCCGGAAAGGAAGTTTTGCTTTAAGTTTTTAGAGACCTTCAGCTGAAGAATTCATTTCCGATTCCTTAGTATTCCACTGATTTAGAAATAAATTATTTTATTAAGTCTCAACTTTTTGTAGCGTTATCTGTTAACAAGTCAAGAAAACCACAAGTTAATCCAATTTTGTTCCTTTTTGCGTATCTTTCAAGTGTTTTCTCCGTGTCGTTTTATGAGTCTGTAAATTTTTATGGGATTCGAAGTTCTTTTTCTAGTTGGCTAAATATGTAAGAATAATAAGTTTCAATTACATTTCAGATTGGATGCGAATTACCTCACGAGGTGTCCTAAGTGCTACCGTACTTTTGACGTTCGAAAGAATTTGTTGAAGCCGGATTATGTTAGGGTATTAAAAGCTCGTAATACAATCGAATTGACCTTTGATACCATGGATCACCTGAAGCAGTGGCTTCAGCTGAATAGTCTAGAAAATAATAAAGATGGTTTACCGGTTTTAATAGAAACTGATAAAAATCAACGAACTTTGACGTCTACTAAAAGTTTACTGATGAATGCGAAATCTGTTAAGCTTAGCAAAAAATGAGTAATTTGTGCTGCAAGTGTTCATCATAGTAGTTTTCTGTAGAATGTGACATATTGACTTCACAACGGTTTGTCCACGTCAAAATGTGATTTTGTAAATTT